TTTTTTTTTTAAGAATATGTGGTTAAAAAAAATAAGAAAAAACTATGGGTCAACATGTAAATTATTTTATTGTAAAAATGTGTGATTAAAAATAAGCAAAAAATAAATTTTCAAGTTAAGTTGTACTAAACTAATGCATAATGTTAATAGATTTTAACAATCGAGTGAGTTAGCCTACGTATTTTAAGAACTAGAAACATTCATTAAACTTTGAGTATTTGGTAAACCGAATCATGCGTTTCCATGTAAATTTTTTAGAAACGTGAATCAGAATTGTCGGTTTTGATTCGATTCGATTCGATTCTACCGTAACTTTATTTTATTTTTATTTTTTTGAAAAAAAAAAATTCATAAGCAGCCAAAAATTTAGTAAACAATTATTTGCATTAGTTTATTCAACATGTTACATTTTTAAACCAAAATGCAAGGAAAGAGAAAATTATATATTGAGTCCCCATTAATTTCCTAAAGTTTCCTTTCCAATATTAAAGAAGTCCCTGTTATTAGTGAACTCAATCAGACAATTTACACAATATGTGAAAGTGAAAAGAATAAAAATGTAAATTCGCTTCATATGGGTTTCAGTCCTAATATTTCAAGAATCATAGCAATCTATTAAAATTCGGGTATTTCGTAAATGAAATCATTCGATTTTGATTAAAATATTCATCCTTAAATTTTAGAATATTATAAATACTAAGCTCATTAGGAATTTCAGCTTGACTCTTTAGGCTATAATAGATTTGTAACTTGTTTTATTTCTTTTTTGAAAATTTTATGTTCAATTTATACACAATAAATGAATCAAAATAAAAAGACCACAAATACATTATAATAAAATAATTATACTTATTTTTTTTTTATATAAAAATGTTATTTCTAAAACCAAAATTTTAACGTCAACCATTTCAAGATATTACTTCCTCATTTTAATCCAACAAAAATCTCGTCCCCCACCTTAACTATACACTAAAGTATCTCCTTTTATTTAAATCCTACAAAAAAAGTACAAATCTTACAAAATGCATGCTAAATAACTCAGGTCCGTTAGATAGGCAAATGTGGAAAGAAATTTCAATTTCATATTAGTTAAAAAATAAAAACCTACCAAACTCATAATAATTTGTTTTCCATGAAAAAAAATGCAGTTTAAGATGGTCGTACCTTGAAATTCAATTTTCATTTCCACGTTGCAATCAAACGACCAAAGTGGAATTCGTTTTCCTCCAATATAACATTTTTCATGAAATTCATAGCAATCATGCAAGGCCTTATAGTAATTTCCAACGAAAAAAACCCATTATATTCATATAAATTTAATAAGTTTATGTATTTGAAAACATAAGTTAGTTTTAATAATTCAGTTCCATTTATTTCATTATAAATTTACGCTAGAATCTTGTGAATTCTATTCAAATTCAAGTGGATCCATACATTATAAGAATTTAAAATTAAAATCTCATTCATCAATTAGATAAGGGATGGCATACATTAATACAAATTCCAAACCGGCGTTAAATTATGTCGCACGAGGCTTAGCATTCCTATAAATTTTGCCAGTAACAGGACAGGTACGTCTCATTAAGTGGCAACTCCTAGCGACGTCAGCTCAATTCTCATTCTTGTCCGAGGTTTGAAAGAGCCGGAGCTTCTCAGATGAATACTGGAGCGGGGGAAATCGAGCAGTTGAATATCAATCTGATTTAACACCATCTCCTACACTTTCTCCGGCTTTTGGTGGGACGGGTGTTTTATGAAATGAAAGAGTGATTTGATCAACAAATAGAAGGTTCTGTAACTGCTGCAGTTGTTGCCGTTTCCTCTCCATTTGCAAATCAAATTCCTCAAACTGAATAATGTAGTCTTCAAACTCTTTTGTCTGCAAAATTTAAATTACCAAGAAACCACGAAATAATGAGAAAAATGCTCGGAATTATTATCAAACAGCAAAAATCTATAATGCCAGGAGTGCTGTGCACCTGAACAGCAATGCCAGATATTGCCTCCTCTAGCTCCTCGTCTTCCTTCTCAAGCTGCAATCTTGCTTCAGCAAGAGCTTCTTCCATTGAGTTTGGGTCGTCGCTATTAGATGCAATATCAGTTTCTGCATTGAAAGTTGAAGATCAGACTGACTACTACTATTTAGTAAGGTTCTAAAAGGCGTAAGACGTGGAGATCAAGCCTCAAACCTTATGAGCCTAGGCACAGCCTAGATGTAATAAGTTGTTTTTCTATTTCTCCTCAAACCTCATGAGCCTAGGCAAAGCCTAGATGTAATAAGTTGTTTTTCTATTTCTCTATTATTTTAATTATAAATAAATAAAATAATACATCCGCTGAAAATTACTAGGGGCTTCAAACATATTTTTTCAAGTTTCCAACAAAAATATAATTTTCAAAATCATAAATACTCCAAATCAATTTCAAGAAGGGAGACACCTACGTTTCTAAGCTAGGTTTTGGCTACGGTGGGTTTTTGTTTGGACTGACTTCATTTTTAAGTTTTAACAATGATTAAGCGTTTTGTTGAACTAATTTGTAAACAAGAAAATACCACTTGCAAATTACTTTTGACAGTCTGTTTTCCCGCCGAGGCGCGAGATGGGGCGTTTTCTCTAAGCCTCGAGCCTAGGCGACCTTTTAGAATACTACGAGAGAGAGAGAGAGAGAGAGAGAGAGAGAGAATGTGTTGGAACGGGTGTTCTAAGGTGTTTAACTAGGTCTCTCATTTACTACATTCTCACCACCTTAAAGACGTGTATGGGATAAATTTAAAAACACAAATCAGATGACGGGAGTTGATCACCAAACTAGGATAACTTTCCCATTTTGATAAAGAGACACAAATCTATTTTTCCCATTTCAGTACTTAATTGTTGCAGATCTCAAATTATTGTAACTTTTAAAGTGCACTTACAGTTACATAAATTTTGGTAATCTTATTCACAAGTGGGTTCATTATTTGAATTGAAATCTCTACATAATATTCACTTTTATTTTTCATAGAAAATAAGCATTTCATTTAGCTCAATGATGTTTGCATTAATGAGTCGTTTTTCATTATTTAGAAATTTAATAATTAAAAATTTTCATTTAAAAAATTTACTCTTAGCAGCACATGCACTGTGCATTGTTGATTGCAATTTTTATTTTCCCCCCTCTTACCTAGATAGTAGTTTAATACAAAGGATCTACTCATTCGTGTAATTATACAAGGACCAATACAAAGTTTCCAAGAAGAGGGACCATTAAGCTGTAAACAGACACTACGGACACATTTTTCAAAGGAATTAAAATTCGCAGCCTGATCCAACAGAACATATAAGCAAGGAGGTCCAATAGATTAATTGTCTTTTCCTTTGCCCTCATTTTGAAACACGTAAAATAATGCTATTAGATCATCTAGTGAAATCTTAAAGAAAACCAACCAATGCAAATTCCAACAGAGCTCAAGGACTTGAATTTTTACTGTTGTAGTAGAGCATAACTTCTAGATTTCCTGTCTAATCCATATAATTCACAATAGAAATAGCTCATACCTTGCTGTTTGGGAGCACCAGAGGATAGTTTCAAGCACTCTTTAAGTTTTCCATCACCAAGAGCAGAAGCAGCAGCTAAAGCAGCACGTGCTGCTACTTCTGCAACATCTACTCCAACCAAAGTGGAGAGAAAATAAGCCTGATGAAATATCACCAACATAAAAAGCAAAGGCAAAACCATCAATAATAGAAAGAAAAAAATAAAGGTTGTTTTAGAGAACCAAAACAGATAATAATGACCTTTATTTGACTGGCTCGAGTCCAACATTTGTGTGCTAGGACAAGGAATATAGGAAAAAAATACATGTTCGCTTAACCATTTTAGAACGCAAAAAAAGAAAACGACAAGGAATATAGGAAAAATACATGTTCACTTAACTATCTTAGAACGAAAAAAATAACAAAAAAACAAATCTTAGATAAGACAGTAACATGATTTTACTGAAATTGCTATATACCTCAAACTGCACCCTTAGCATTAAATTGCCCAGAAGACATAGCCATGTTATTTATCTCCTAGAGACATACATTTTGGGCAGTTAATAACCCCTAATGCCTTACTAAGCCCGCAGAGCTCGAGAGCGGCACAGGAGGACAAATCAATAAATCTTGTGCTACATTTGTTTTAGCACTAGCTGGTCTAAAATTATAAGAAGTCGTTCTTCAAACCAATAAACAGGGAGTTATTACCTGAGCCATAATTGGGTTACTTGAATCATTCAGGGGTGAGATACACGTCCTTTTTGTTGGTCTTGAAAGATTTTGTGAACTTAATCCAGAATCCAGCTCAGCAGATTCTGGAGGCCCATCAAACTGTTCGCCAAATGGCAAATTTACAAAGTGAGTTACACATTCCCTCTCACTTCTACCGCCAACATGCTCTGCAACTTTCTTCCAGTCATCACCATAATGCATAATAGCTTCAAGAAGTTGCAAAGTCTCTTTATCTGTCCAATCAGTCTTTGCCTCTTCACTGATCTCGACCCTCTTAAACTCCGAAGAATCCCTATAGTTACCCCGCACATAGCACCTTGCACAAAGTGTCACATCTCGCTGCACAACGATTAAAAACCATAATGTAAAATTCAGCAGTTAATCTCAATTTTCTGCTCTCAAATATTAATAAGTTAAAATGATGATGTATACCAAGTAAAGCAAATAACTTTGAGAGATGCAAAGAAGCATTAAAATGAGAATACAGAAATCTAGTACTCAAAATCTTAGGCCTGTTCTCTTTAATATTTTCAAGCCTTTTCTGTTTTCGATTTTCCAAATCAGTGAAAACGCATTCTCTTTCTTATTTTCAAAAACGCATTTTTTAAAAACAAGTTAAAAATTTACAAAGAAAACTCAAAATGACAAATTTTTCGTTTTTGGTGTTTTCAGTTATAATCAAGCCAAACGTTTTGGGTGTTTTCAAAATAATTTTTCAAAATATCAAAAAGAACACATTTTCAACCATCTAAAAATGAACACTCAAAACACAAAACCTAAAATGAATTCAAAACTCAAAACACAAAACTGAAATACAAAGAAAACAGCCCCTTAATGTTTGAATTGCTAAAAGAAAATATAGGTACTTTACACAAACAATAAGCATCACCAATGACCAGTAGTAGAAGCTAAATTATAAGAATTCCTATCTAATACACAAAGCTATCTTATTAATAGCACCGAATATCCATGGACGACATAACACTAAAACAGGGTGCCAAATATGCACTAAGTACCTTATCAGAGGCAAAGCAAGCAAAGCTGCAAACACCCTTGCAGTTACTGCAGGGCTTAGACTTGGAAACTGTAACATTGGTGCCGCTGCCACCGGCAGCATCACCTCCCTGCAATGTGGCTGTTGCTGATTTGCTCTCCTTCTCTTCCCACTTCAACTGTGGCTTTGAAGAACCAGTGTAATTGATCAAACCCCAAGCTTCCAAGAAATCGAATATCCTCCGAACAGACCCCACATCACCAACAATGGTCTTCCTGACCTCAGTGAAAGTAATTTTCTTGCTGGGGTTTTCTCGAAATCGCCTAATGACGGCATTCCTGTAATACTTGTAAACCCTAGGGTTCTTAGAGGGATACCTTCCATCGAAGAACTCCGGAACAAATCTAACCTCGCATTCGTGAACGCTGTTCCACGAAAACCACCCTATATCGAAAATCAGATAATTAACAAAAAAAAAAAAGTATTTAAGTTATCCACAAAGCAAATAAAATATAGACGTGTAAGCATACGAGAATAGCTGGGGATGTGGATGATGTCAGAATCAGAGGAGAGTGGTTCGGGATGAGTGCGCACGGTAACGGTAGCCGCCGCCGCGGCGGAGGTGGGGGTAGCGGTGAGAGTGGCGGTGGCGGAAGCGGTGCCGGGGTTGGCTTTGGAGTCGGAAGGTGGCGGAAGGTCAATGGTGATGGTGGGCGTAGGGGCGTCGGTGATTAGTTTTCCGGCGGAGGGTTCAGGGTTGGGTGTCGATGGGGACTTGGCATCAGTAGCCATAATTTACGATTGGAGAACTAAAAAATTAATTTAAATATCCCAGAGTTAGCAGCGGACCGACGGTTTAGAGATCAGCAGAAACGGAACCAGTCGAGCCGGAAGAACGTAAACAAAATTTATAGAAAAATTAAAAGTCTTTGAAATCATAAACTCATTTTTCATAAAATATTTGATTTATAAAATAAGTTGTAAATTCAATCAAATATATAATTAAAAAATAAATTTGACCATGACTACGTCGGGATTAAAAAATTGAGATAGATTCATTGCCTATCTATTTTTTTTTATCAGACTAGAGATAAAAATTCCTTATAATCAAATAATTTAAGTTTCTCGTAAATTTATTTAGTGGAATTTACACAATTCCCTACTTTTCAAGATCTAGATTCTAAAATCAGATTTGAAGTTTTAATTTTCAAAAATCAGATATTTTTTAATTAATTACATTATAATTATATATATTATAATTACATATTATAATTACCCAAACCCACCATAATATAATGACCCAAACCTTAATCAAAACATTTCCCTAAAAATTCATTTCTCGCCATCTTCTCTCTCACCGTATACTCTATCTCTTACTCTAAAAAAGTTATTTTCTCTCTCTCTCAAAATCCCTTCCACAATGGCGTCCCTTCACGAGGAGAGCGTATACGTGGCGAAGCTGGCGGCGCAGGACAAGCGATATGAGGAGATGGTTGAATTCATGGAGAAGGTGGTGGCGGCCGCTGACTGTGGAGGAGCGCAACCTCTTGTCAGTGGCCTACAACGTGATTGGCACTCGCCGCGCATCATGTAGATCTGGCGCTTTTGGTGGTGGATCCGGCGTTGATGAGGTAGTAGATTTGACACTATTAACGACGGTGAAGTGGTGATGGGCGATGTTGGGTGAGGTGGTGATGTGCAATCTGCAGTGGATGTACGATGGCCGTGTTACTGTGGGTGCGGGTACGTTACTGTGGATGTGCATGCGTGCGAGTGCGATCATGCGATTGGGTGGTTGTTTGTACAGTTGCGGATGGTGGAGGTGGGCAATCTGTGGCGGTGGTGGTGTTGAATTTGTAGGTGGTGGTGGTGAATTTGGAAATGACGATGTTACTATTGATTGTCATGGTGTTGGGGTGGTAGTGATGGTGATGTTGGTCGTTGTGGTTGTCGTGGAGGCGGTGGCAGTGGTCGTAGCGATAGTGCAGAGGTGGTGGTGGTGGTGGTGGGGGATTTGGTCATTTTGGTTTTATATGACTAAAAATATAATTTGTGGCCTTAATATTCGATAATCCGTGATTAAAAATATAATCCGTGACCAACCATTTTATTATCTGTGACCTAAAAATTATATAATCTGTGACCGTGAAAAAATCTGTAGCCAAATAATTTGAAAATTTGTGTTCGTGTGACTTTCTGTGACTAAAAATATAATTAGTAACCAATCATTTTGTTATTTGTGACCCAAAAATTATATAATCTGTGACCGTGAAAAAATCTGTGGCCAACTAATTTGGAAGTTTGTGACCATGTAACATATAAAAAGGTTGTGACAAAAAATTAATATTAACAGGTCACATGTGTTTGTAGAGTTATGGTTCAAAAATACATATCACATTTATCGGAATAGTCGCCGGAACGATCATCGGCATAATCGTCGGAATCAGATCAATCATCGGAACGGTCATTGGAATAGTCGCTAGAATCGAAGAAGTCGCCTGAACGATCACCGAAATAGTCGTCGGAATCGGAGTAGTAGACGGAACGGTATGGGTGGTGGAGGCGGGGTGGATAAATATATATAGTATATGTATATGTCAAATATCTGATTTTAGAAATTTTAAAATTGTTTTCTTATTTTTGAAATAGTATATAGTAAAAATAGAATAAATAAAATTTTCCCATTTATTTAATATTTATTGAATTGTTATATGTTCCATTGCAATAGAGATAAGATCATAAACTCCTTATATAATTTGATTTTTATATCAAACTATGTAATAATTCTATTACTTCTACTCCTTCTGCCCCATTTATATAGATTGATTTTGTTTCACACGGATTAAAAAAATCTTATTTAATATTATTAAAAAAATATTTTTTTACCAAAAACTTTCATAATTTACCTTTATTTAATTATCAACATCTAGTAGTAAATTATTGTTGAAAATAGTAAAGAAATTCAATGATTTAATTTTCAAGAAGTATGCATCTTTATATTGTACAATTTCAAAATTAAGTGAAAAAAATTGATAAACAAACAAAACAAAACATTCTTCGATTCTATTAATAAAGAAACATGACTATATAATTAAAACAAAAAAATAAGAAAAGTCAGCTTATATAAATAAAAAGAAAAGGGAGTATATAAATAAGAAAATAAATACACATCATTCCTATCAAAAAATGAATAGTTGAAATATTAATAATTGAAGATCGAGAGGCATTTTATTAGTTAAACTAAAAAATAGTTAAACCACACATTCATAATTACCATTTAGCCCACTTTTTATAGGAATTAAAATCTAAATTTTCATCTAATTCAAAGTCAACAATTATTTTTAATTATATACTTCATGCAATCCACAATATTTCATCGACTTTTATCAAAATTTACTAAAAATCTGATTTTAATCTCCACCAAACTGGGGTTTGATTTTCATTTAAGTACGTACTTATTTGAACACAGGAATTCTAGATTTCGCACAATAGAAGAAAGAGTCCTCTTTCTATATATAAACCTAGAGCTTCTTTCATATCTTTAACTCAAAGCTCTAAAATAATCAAGATTGCAGTATTAGAATCCAATAAAATCCTAAAAACTGTTATGCACAAAATGCTGACCCGACTTTTCGAATAAAATGCAGGATGCAACACACAGACCACAGATTATCTACACACCCAAAATGCTGGGAATCGGTCTCTTAAAAGAATCATATGTTGATTCTACCATGGTCTTTTTACATGGGACATGGCAGCCAGAAACCAATTCTGGCCACCATTAGTCTCCGACTCTTTGCCGGTCATCCATTAGACCAGCAGAATATGAGAATTTAGATACATGATGGTGAAGTGACGGAAGTGTCGTTCAGACGTTCCATTTCCTCTCTCAGACATCGATTTCTCTGGTGAGCATGACAATGTAAGACCTGCACGAGTTACAGACATCAGATTAACAAGAAATGCCAAGCAAATGCACGTTAATCTTCAAAGTTCCTCATCTTCCATTATCAAAGACACATCTCAATCTCAATTGATATAAACTAAGACTGATATAAGGATAATGTAACCCCTTTCTTCTCTTTCAAATGCCCCAGTAGGCAGTATGTAAGCATGAAAAATGGAATGATCAGTAAAGATGAGCACAACTGGTTTTGTAGGGTTGTATATGATTTTTAGTAGACTTTGATGAAAGTTGATAAAATGTGTGGTTCAAGAGTTGTATGTCGCATGAAATATGTGATTAAAATTAATGGTTGACTTTGACTTAAACTAAAATTTAGATTTCAATCCCTACCAAACGGGAGCGAAGTACAAAAAGGTTATTTATTTTCACGGCAAGGTAGGGATTACTTTCAAAATACGTAAACAAAAAGATTATTAATATAAGAACTTGCTTATATATAAACTTATAAGCAAATTTTTCAAGATTAACCAAACATGCATTTAGTTTAAATTCAAAAAGCAAAATGTAACAGACAATCTCAAATATGTTGATGAATTTAATCGAAATAAAACAGGCAAAAATCAATTATTTGAATGTTATGGGGGTGTTTGAGCCACATTATTTTTTAAGAATGTATTTTGGAATGGTAGATTGATGGAGAATGTGTAGTTAAAAAAGAAAGAAAAAAAATTTATTTGCGTATAATATTATTTAATTGAAGAATGTGTGGTTGAATAAAAGATTTAGAAATATATTTTGGGGAAAATAGGAATCAAGCATCCCCTATATAAAATACCTCTAGAATGCAAAATGAATAATTTGCAAGGATAGATTTGAAGCCCGCCACTCAAGTAGCAGTACTGCTGTTCTTAGTCCCGCTGCAGTCTAAGGATACCTGCAAAAGGTGGCAAAAAATCATAACAAAAGTATCTACCAAGAAAATCACGTTGTAGCAAGAGCAAGAAAAAGAACACGAAAACTTACCTAGATCAAACCCTCAACCAGAATTTGGGTCAGAACCGCTACCCTGCATGAATTGAGGAGAATGAGCAGGTAGTATGAACTGAGATTGCGGTGGAATATGTGCTGCTACACCAGATACAACCAACACATTACATTAGCCACAGATCTTCTGTAAACCATATAGAATCAAATATGACATTTAAAAGATAACAAAGTACAGGTTTCAAGGAAGCTAGCCCGATTCTCCACAAATGTATATAATCTTTTTCACCAAGACATACATAATCCACTTCCCAACAAAATCATCGAATAAAAATAGAAATGATGTGCTATAGAGGTTAGAACATCGTAGACAAAAAGATGTAATGTTATGCCAACTTCATGAGTAGGCATTTGAAAGCTCTTGCTGTCTTGCAGATACGCAATTCCAATGGTCTTTCATATACAAGAAAACAAAATGTGTTCAGCAATAAACAAATTTACCAGGAAATGGTGTTGGAATAGTTGGAACAGATGTAGTTGTCACTGCATTGACACTGGGCCCACCAAACTGCACGATCTGATGCCCAGACATTGCATATCCTGGCAATGACGAATAACTATGGCTTCCTGGGCTCAACTGGCTATATGGATACATAGTTGTGTTGACTGTTCCAGGTACACCATACATGTGAAGGTATTGCTGATTTCCATAAGGATTATAAACACCCTATAAAGATAAATGAACTGCTATATGTCAAAATGACTTTATGCAAGTTTACCATCATTAAAGTACTAAGCAGCAAAATTTTCAAAGCTAAAGACCTGATGATAAGAATATTCTGGACTGTATGCAGCATACCTGCATCAATAGAAGGGATGGAGACGATAAATTTATAGAGGT